GATTCAAACTCATTAGAAGCTGCTTTTAAACTTGGTGTACCAGGAAAAAAAGTTTGTTGTAATGAAGATTATTTATTTGAAGTTGATTTAGATAATCGAGAAATTAGTCCGGTATATTTAAAACTTTGAAGTGATCTGAATCATGATGATACACATGCCGTGGAGATTAATGTTTATCTGTTAAATAATTATAAATAATTATTATAAATTAGAATTTCTACCTTTCTTATCGGTAGAAACTCTAATTGAATAAACTCCACTGATAATTAAATTTAGTTTCTGTTTCTGCGGCATGTATAAGTAATGATTCATAAGTATGAATCGCACTAGGTTATATGTTATGAATTAAATGAATCTATTCATTATTAACATAGATTTATTGGGTCGATGCGATATTCCAAGTAGTAAGAGCTACATGGTTTTATCAAGGCGATAGCAATTTTATTCCATGCGATGAAAATTTATCTATCCAGATTGAGGAGGGTTACATGTGTGTTTAATCATAATGTTTAATATAATCTTAATGTAATTTTACTTTTTATATATGTATCATATAAACTGATTATTTATTTGATTTCATGTTTTAATATTGTAAAGAAAACATAAATCATGGATTCCTGGTTCTAATTCAAATGATGCTACATCACCTGAAAAAAATTGGCATCTAACTGATAAATATCAGGGTCAATATATCGTATACACTAGTCCTAGTGTTGCTTGGCTGATAATGCATGTATACTTTATAATTTAGTTGTTGCAAAGGGAAACCATACTTCGGGCTTTTAAATTTATCGGATTCGAAAAAAACCAATAGGTCGAATCATAAATTTGAAGCTAGAAGTGTGGCTTGTCTTAACGACACATTTATTTTCGTATATTCGAATTTTTAATGCTAATTAAAGTATTTATTAATTTAGTGATGACTTGACAGGAAAATTTACAAAAACACTATTTTCAAAATTTACAAAAGGTGAACATTTAGGTGGTATACGTCTTATAAGAGGATATCCCGAGGTCGAAAAATTTTTAAAGAAAAAATCTACTGAGCCTGAAAATAAAAAGGAAAAATCAAAAGATGCAAATGATCAGGAAACTAATCAAAAGAAACAAGATGATAATTATGTTGAATCTGAGGATGATGATGA